TTTTTCTTACTTCACTGTATTTATTTATTTTATTTTTATTCAATGATAGATTTAGATACCTACAATGTGCAACACCTCTTTTTCCCTTTTGCACGGAAGCAGTTTTATATAACAGATTCTTTATTATGCGATTATTTAGGTAACATTATGTTGCAATGCTGGAAAGTGCTCATTAGTGAATTTACAATGTTCTTTCAGATAAGATGTATCCATAATACAGTTGCATTTGCTCTTATAATTTAGAAAAACTCTTGACGTACCAATGAAGAACATTGTACCGTATGTTACCATGATTATACAGTAAAAAGAAAATTTAGTTACTTATTATTTGCTTTTTGTCTTTTCGGTGTCATACATAAAGCATGCTGCCATAATATATTAAGGGCCAATTTCACCAACATTATTATTATGGACCAATAGGAAAATACCTTATCGAAATGCAATTTAACGGAAGCTGTCAAAGGTCTCTGAATATCAGTGGTTTCTATTAAAATATTGAATAAAATCGTGAAAATTCGATATATTATAAACAAGACCACTTTTTGATTCCAACATGATGCTTTTGTACAGAAAAAACAGGACAACTTTCATGTATTTTGATATATGTTATAGGTTTACATTTAACAATCCATTATCCCCCTCAGCGAATGGGAATGCCGCAAATAGTAGGTCGATTTTCTAGCTGTTAAATTTGGCAGCAGATTTGGGACGTTTGTTAATGCATGCATTGAATTTACCAACTTCAATATACTGAAAGTTATCATTACATACCTGTTAAATAGTGTGCATTTGTCTGAATTTTGCAAGAAAATAGAATATAAAATACATCCTATCCAATTCCTCATCTTCCTTTACGTCATAACAGTAACATTTATTAATTTATGGAATAATGAATTTCTTCAAAGCAATAAAAAAATTATGGCCTCTCTATCCTAAAACACAGACAATATGTGTAAGACGTGTCAATCCCTACATCTCCATGATGCATAATGCAATTACTATGGACATAGACAAAAAATTATGAAAAATGTTTGACAGATAATGGCTTTTAAGTCCAAAAATCAAAAAAACTAGTAATACTAGGTATCATGAATATAAGCATCTCTGGTAGATTGTTCGATCCGGAATGGGAAAGATCTCCTATTTATGAAGATATTTTTGGTATCATCTAACCGTTGCAATCAGTGCACAAACACTGTGACATATGATTTATAGCATAACCCCCCTGCCCTATCAATACAAGTTTAACATACATGTCACCTAGCCGTGGGGATGCAGTGGTCGGGATGAATATCACGGCAGCAACTTATTACTTGGGCATGTCTGGTAACAACGTATGAAGTAAAACTCGCTAACTTCACAAATTTGTACAATTTCTTTGAAAATGATGAAAGTTATGTCTGATTTGGCAGGGTAATGTCGCAGCCAAATGGCAGTAACTCTTTCTGACACAGTCCGGATCGAAAGATGACGATACTCGTGACATGTATTGATACTTCTAAATATAGGATCGTATCGAACATCCCTACTGTCAAGATGTATAACTCAAGGTACCGACGGAGCTATATTGCGGCGTCAAGTAAATAATTTTAAATTTTCATTAGCATTTCTTCAAGCGTTGTGCAATGATCTTGGGAAAAATGTCACGAATAGTCTTATAAAGCATAGTAGAGTATATTTCAACAGTTGGCGGAACTCACACCACTGGGACCGGTGAAATGGGATATTAATGCACAATCTGGCAACCCTGTCTTACCCTCATAAGATAGCCGCTGATAACCACACAAGTCACCGTGTTGCCATTGAATAGCGTTGAATTAAACCTTCAGAGTATAATATGTTTTGTGACTGGTACCAAGAGTTGACAGATTCCACACATGTGTCACTCCTTGAAATGCAATAATCAGCTGTATTCAAAAAATGTCTGATATAAATAACGGATGATTTTTTAAGAGGTATAGGATTTGATTTTCAAAAAAAAAACACAAAAAATTTGAAAAAACGATTAAATCTTTATTTGAGTCGATAGAGCGGTCGATATAATTTAATGTTTAAGGATTATTTCATGTAAATGTTGGCCGCGGCTCCGCTTTAGATGGGCCATGCATAAGGTCCAATTTTGGCACACTCTCTCCAACATATCGGCCGGTATCTCACGAATAAATGCGTCAATATTGACTTCCAGTGCGTCAATCGTTGCTGGTTTATCCCTGTAGACATTAGCCTTAACATGGCCCCACAAGAAATAGTCCAACGGCGTTAAATCACAAGATCTACGCGGCCAATTGACGGGCCCCAAACGTGAGATAAACAGTTCACCGAACTCCACTCTTAATAGGGCCATTGTTTCGTGTGCGGTGTGGCATGTAGCACCGTCTTGTTGAAACCACATGTCAGCCAAGTCCAGCTCTTCCATTTTGGGCAAAAAAAGTTTGTTATCTTCGCACGGTAGCGCTTGCCATTTACAGTTACGTTCCGGCCATTGTCGTCTTTGAAGAAGTACGGCCCGATGATGCCACCGGCCCATAATCCACACCAAACAGTGATTTTTTCCAGATGCATTGGTAGCTCTTGCAATGCTTCTGGCTGTTCTTCACTCCAGATGCGGCAATTTTGCTTGTTAACGTATCCATTCAACCAGAAATGAGCTTCGTCGCTGAACACAATTTTTCGATAAAAATGTGGATCTTCCTCCAACTTTGCCAGCGCCCATTCACTAAATTGGAAACGTTGTGGGAGGTCGTGTAGCTTCAATTCTTGCACCAGCTGTATCTTATAGGGTTTTACACCCAAATCCTGTCGCAAAATTTTCCACGTAGTGGAGTAACAGAGGTCCAATTGCTGCGAACGGCGGCGAATCGACATTTCACGGTCATCAGTAACACTGGCAGATACAGCCGCAATATTTTCTTCATCTCTCACTCTACGTCTGCGTGTTGGTGATTTACTGTCCAGTAATGTAAACTGGGTTCGAAATATAGTCACAAGCTTCCGAGTAGCTCCCTCAGTAGGCCGACCAAATTGCCCATAAATTGGAAGCAGTGCTCGATGCACTCTCTTAACCGAGCATGAATTTTGATAGTAAAATTCAATAATTTGCAAGCGTTGTTCGTTCGTAAGTCGATTCATGGTTAAATTATAGACCAAACTGAACAAGTTTGACAATGACACAAGACACGATTCACGCGTCACCTGTCAAAAACAGTGTTGCCAAAAAGATACTTGCAAAAAAATCACCCATTATAACCTAGAATGTGTACTCGTGAAAAAAGAAAAATATGGCAAATTTGTAGTTTTTTTTGTAGGTTTTAGGTTTGATGATAGCTTTAAGGCGTATATTTGGGAATTTATTAATCGCTGTGAATATAGTGTGGATGTTTGTTCAGTTCCTGAACAACGAAAGATATTCAACTTTATAGATGTATGGATATCAAAAAACCTGGATGGTTTTGTGGAAATATCAATCTAAGGTGCCACAGTGGTTCTGATGATCGGCTAGTAATTGAATGAATGTTTGGAAACGAGCAATATCTTTTGGTAGAGCCTGTCAACAAGTAGGTGCTTAATGGCTATCTGCAAGAGGTTTACAGGAAAAAACACCCAGTATCACATATTAATTGAAGAAAATAATATAAATATGAATAAAAAATCAATATTAGAAATTAAAACATGAATTTAATTCAAAAATCAAACATTTCTTAAAATTTTGACTGAATTATATGTAATTTCTTAATATTCAATAAGCTGGTGATGTTTCAATGTCAAGTTGTGATCTCATACTTTGACAGTATTTTGTTTTCAACATTTCATAGCTATTGGTTGCTAAAATTTGTTGAAGCTCATTCGCTGTATCTAACGGACTGTTGTAGGTGAAATTGGGCCTAAATGTTGTAAAGTGCGACCGAAGGTGCTAAAAATTGAAACGACTTTCCTGGAAAGTTAACATTTGTCACAATCTTATTAGAAGCACTTTGGCATCATCAGCCTTGTACACCGAATATTCTCGTTAGGATGCTGTTTTTTACACATGCTACTAAGCAATTAGATTGACTGTGGTAAAATTTTGTCCAACTTGAACTTCAGTATAGGTTGAATAGTAGGAACTTCACTATGTTTTATCTACAAAATACTTCTGCAAATATTATGCTAGCATCCCATTCATATAGAATACCGAAATGCTTTAACGAGGTTAGCAAAAAAACTATTCAATGACGCAAACCTTTGTTAGCTTTTCAGTACCTCTCTGTATGCATATTTATGCACTTTAGGAATGGAAATTAACGTTTAGGAATATTAATTTGCATGTGCTATTACTGCAGCGATGGTGCTTTGTATCGATATACATACACACATGTCTTTTTATTAGTTTTATCAATCAATGGCACTATTTGTTGTAAGTATGTGTCGCTTTGTTTTTCATCACTGATATAGCCTTTCTCTGTAATACTGGATCTTGTATCTGTTGGGAAACGTATGAATAAAATAAAACAAATTATACGCAAAAATGTGGCAAATTTTTAAATTCTGAAATTTCATAGGAATCTTTTTTTTCAGGTAAGTGGCATCCCACCTTTGTTTCCGACAGTCTTGTGATCAGTACTTTTTTTAGCAAAGGTGAGTTTCAACTAAGACCTAGCCTAGACTAGAATAGACCTGAGATCACTGGTTACATACTCGAGAGAGGAACTGACAGCCGATACCAACTCGGACGTTTCGTTAGAATAAGGCATAAAAAACTTTTCGCTTTTACAACATTTCCAAGTTACCTTTGAAGATACAGCGAAAATATAAAAAACAGTTTCTAAAGAAACCTTTTTCCTTTTACCGATCTCACGTTTAGGTCTTTAACCGCGGAAGTGAATGCACAATGTTGTATTCGACATATTTTTTCACAAAAGTGTTTTGAAAAAAAAATATTAGATTATACGAGGCTCTGGGGAGCTGTAATGTAACTTAATAATATGGAATCAAGGCACAGGTATTATACGTAAACAGAAGACTAACTTAAAATGCTTTATTTCAACGTAAATTCTGGTCTGACATATTTAAAATGCATATCCGGAAGAAATATCAAGTAGACTGGCCTAGTAGACGTAGTGGGCACCTGCTCCATGGTATGTGGTCAGATGTGGTGTGTAGGCAGAGTAAGCAAGAGGGGCGGTGTAGGCGACAGCAGGGGCGGCGTAGTAGACAGGAGCGGGGTTCGGCTGAGCCTTAGGGGCCGCAACTGGGGCAGCCTCAGGGGCTGGCACAGCTGAAGCGAGGGCCACTAGGGCAGCGAAGACAATGGCGAACTGAAAATATAAAAAAAAATGATGCAACTTCTGACAAAAATCTTGTCTATGTCAAAACAGTCGAATCCGAAATATTCAAAGTCTGTTTCAAAAATAGTCCTCCAAAGAAAGATTTCATAGGCGAAGTAGTGCTTGAACCACTTTATATGATGACAAATTATAAAGTTCCATTGAATGGCAGCACTATTATAGATTCGTTGATAGATATAGGAATTGTTAACAACACAATAACGGTGAAACCAATTCGTTGTGGTAAATAGACTTTGACATCAACCTAAAGTGATAAATAGTCATTGAAGAATGACTGATGACGTATTATCTACAGAAATATCTTCTCAATATATTCACAATTTTGAAAGTATACTATATAGTATTATCCTGGTAATTATTTTGTACCAAAGTAAATGTTACTTATATGAAGAAAATATAATTTATGGTGTTTATTCAATGTCAAACTTGCTTTTCATGCAGAAAGCAACATGATAGCTAAGAGGGAAAGAGATAACTCAATATAAGCAGTGCCTTTCAGAAAAAACATGGCATAAGGTAGATCAAAAAATAACACGAAGAGTTTATGTACTTTTGTTTTCATAGTCGTCTCATTGCTGAGATGTAGGGCGTTGAAGCTATTTCGAGAAAGGAAAAAATTACACTTTCTGAGTGGATCATATATTGAGTTAAAAATATGTACTTGTAGTACTGAACCATAGCCAATGCATAGAAATATTTCAAGAAAAGTTGGTTTGGATTTATGAGTGAAATCAATAAAAAAAGCTTCGATTCGATCTACTTTCAAAGTACGCTGAAGTTAACTAAGTTTGACATTGAAACTTGCATTAGAAGAGATTCTAACTTTAGCATTATTTGAAGATTGTTATGTTTTGACCTGATTTAGTCTCACCAATCGTGTGGAAATTTACAACATCCTGCAACTTGATGATGGAACATTTAATAAGAACCATTTTTGGTATTTTTTGATATATTCTCTGCCCTGGAAATATTGCCAGCTATGACACTCTGTACAAACATGGAATTATCATTTTTCAAGGTAGAGATTACTGACAGTGATCACGTTGAAGAGCTCGACAGGCAGTTGAAAACTTGTAGTAGGTTCTTGAGTTGACATATTTTTCTAAACAACATAACATGCGCAGTAAAGGTAGGGTTGCTGAGGTACCATTTTTACGGAATCAAACGGAAAATATACCTTTTGCAAAGTTTGTTGATGCAATATTATTGCTGTACCAGTTAATCTACGTCCAGTAAAAACTGTCAACCTTAAGAAAATCGGAAAATAACTTGAAACAACTCACCAGCTTGAACATTTTGCAAACACAATTTGATTCACTTCTGGATCAAATCACGTCTCTACTATTTACGGTCCGGTCTTTTATACTGAGCAAATATCCTTCTGGACAGGAGGGAGACCCAGCCAAAAAATACATTTGAATAATTCGGATGGGCTCTCAAGGATCTCAGCTTGATTAGCGTAAACGAATTTGGAGCTGGTAACCAGTTTAGCTTTGTTGATAACAGAACGCGGATTTGGAATTTGCATACAATATTTAGATTTTTTTAGTGGGTGTGGTTGGATTGTTTGTTTAATAGTCTAATCCGTCAATTAGGACATCATTTGTGTTGACATTCTTGACTAGCTGGACAGCATGTACCCACTAATGGTTCGATATGAAAATTACACGGTAATTTGCATTGATGATATTAGATGCAGGATCAGATACCATATGGGTATAGGGTATAGGGATTTTATTAGAATGTCAGGTATATGTTCTTAAGCGATTATGAAAAGTGTATTCTAATTGCTTTGCAAGTATGTGTATTGACGATATTTTCATCCTTGTAGAGTATGTTAAACAAATGCATGTCACAAAAAATGGAGTCAAATCGTCTTCGTGCCTGGACATAAGTCAATTAAGCATTTCAGCTGTAACAATTTAAACGGTATTTGTGTAGATAAAATCGGAAAAGTACCTGATTTCATAACTTTCGATCCGATAGAAATTATATACAGCCCAAAGTAACCAGAAAAACTAAACATTATGTCTGTAAAGAAATTATTTTTAACGCGCAAGAACGATCGGGAACCCAAGAAGCATCGGTGGACCATTTTAAAGCTTTTCATTTTGTGCTCTTAAATACAACTATTGGAACGAATTTCAAAATCTTCAACCCTTTTTGTCCTTGGCGTGGCCAACATTTCATCAAAATCCAAATACATTCTAAATTATATAATTCTAAATGCCACGTACTATCAGCAACTAGCAAATTAAATAAATCTTGCTACAAAATTTTCAAGCGCCTTATATTTATCTACGTCATAAATAATTGGATGTTTGAAGTGCTTCGGGAGACTACTGCTTTTTGTAATCTTTATTTTTCTTAATAATATTCACAAAGTCTTAAAAACATCTTAAATTTGTGAAAGCGTATAAGCCCTTCTTTTTGTTTTGTATTCATAACTGTTTCGCTGTTTGAGCAATTTTTAACAACACACTATGAGGTGAACTTGAGAATTCAATATAACTTCATCTCGGCTGAGAGGTTGTTCTTCCTCTCAATGTTCACCTTTGCTGTCCAATGAGGTTTGAGTTTATTTGTTTGTTTGAAGGTTTTAAAACCGTAGTGTGCCTTATCCAACAAAAAGCGCCCAAACCTAAATTTGTTCTTGATGAATCGCCGAACTCTTCCAGTAATCAAATTCAAGTCAAGGTTATGCCTCTCTTCATAGCAATGGCAGTTCTTTGCTATTTAAGCCATGCCTTCCATGGCTGCTCTCGTGTATTCAGAATTTGTGATAAGCAAACAAAAATGACGTCAAGTAGATTGAGCCTGGACAAGTGAACTTTGAATATGCCGCATGAATGGTATCTGAGTCAACTCCTGAATACTCTGGTATCTTTATTAATCGCCGGCTATAGAATCCCTCATACCCTGACATAGGACCGTAGCAAAGAACGAGTATCAGTGGAAAACAGTTTTGTGGACTTCAAATAATTGAAACTACTGACTTTGAATATGCACCATGTATAACATCTGAGTCAGCTTTCGTACATTGTGGTATCTTGACTATTCGCCTGCCATATAGTTCCTTACAGCAGGTAATGTTATAAAGCGGATACAATTCATTTGTTGTTTTTTTTTCTCAAATAAATGGCTCTCGTAATACCAAGTTTCATATGCTCTGGTGAAGGATATTATGTGTTGTCAGATAGCTAGTGTTACTGGGGTCCCAGACCCATAAATACTATCACAAGCTTTTCAAAAAGGAATATGAAACATTCAAATCCCTCTACCTCGTACAACCTTTAGCCCCAAATTTTCCTTCACAACAAAATGTTTTCTGAAGATGATCAAGAGCCTCTGGGAGGCCAAGGGATGGAGATTAATCGATTTTATGACTTTTTTCCTTTTTTTGCTACTCTGACACAGGATCGATTTTTAAGAACTACAAAGCGTTTTCGTCCTTCACATGTAACATCCCAAAAACGCAATATTCCATTTTTTAAATGTTTGTGATTACAATACTTCTTCGCCAATAGCGCGGGAAATGAGAGACAGTGACAATGCCACATCGGTGATATGAGGAACGGTTATTTTCCTGGATCAATCGCAAATTATATCGTTTGACATTACGTAGGACGGCCTAATAAACAAAAACAACAATACTTCAGCAATTTTTACAATTCTTCGCTTGCCACACTCGCTTCATCTATGTGCCAGACGTAGTGGTGGCAGATGTCTCACAGGCTGTAATTTAATAACTAATATTTCCAAATCACGATTCGCTACTGTAGTTGATTCAGAAAGCAACGACATCAGATATCACAGTTATTCAAAGATAACGATATCGGCCAACTCCAGCCCGAAGCTGATGAAAGCTGGCCTTTAATTTGTGTGTGCACAGTGGCCGAACAACTGAGCAAGCTCGGGAGCACTCAACAATTTACTAGCTGATTAGATGCAGTTCGTCGGCCAAGCCACATTTTCAAACGTTCCCGCTCCACAAACGGCCCGGCAGAGCCGAACCGAGTCATCCGGCATCTCAAACTGAAACTAATTTCCGGTAAGGAGCTTAATTGAAGCTTTTAAGCTCTACATGCAGCAGTCAGAGCTTTTACCCACTACACGAAATAAAGTCCGACAACTTGCCTGCGTTCGTTTTACTGAAAGGCTTGCTTGAGGCGGCAGCTTGTGTTTGATGACAACTTTCAGGTGTCATATTAATGAGGAGATTTAGCTTTAATCTAACAGTCTCCTCAACACTATGAAGATATTCTTGAAATAATAATCTGAATTCGCGACGTTTTCTAGTGCTTGAAATATTTCTCAGGGCCAGATTTGCTTTCCTGACTGGGAACCTGAACCTGAAAAGGGAATCATCGAGGGACCTCAAGCAGCGTTTTGTTAAAGTGGCTACCACCCAAAAAAGAAGTCAGCTATGTTTGTCAAATTTTAGTAATTGAATTCTTGAGTGCTCTCCTCAAAGGTTGAATTGCCTTTAGAGTTGGATCCTCTGTCAAAAATTGGTAACTACATACCAAACTAGTGCTCTAATATATTTTTGACTAGGAGATTAAATTGGTTGGTTCAAAACAACTGAAAACACATCTACAAAAAGTACTTGAAGAATCCTTTGAACGACAAATCTTTACTTTCAAGAGCTGTCTGAAAATTCTAAACAAAGACTGTAGGTCGAACTTCTGGAAACGGCCTAATATTAAAACATCATCTCCAACTCATTGTTTACATACAGGGTGACTTCGAAGTTGAGTCATTTATTTTAACAGTGAGTAGATCTGATCAAAAGAAATGTTTCTTCCTTCAACATTTTTCTGGTAAAATTAAAGTAAGAAAGATATAGCCCTTTAGAGGTTTGAGTACCGCCCTGTCTCAATAATAATATTGTGTTCGTGTTTGGCAACAACGGATATAATCCGCCTTATCGGTTCATCGCATCGGAAACAAAAAAGCGAAAGAACTTGAAACGCTTATCACGATGTTTTTACTACAATTTCATTCAGTTGTATTCAGTCAATGTGTCAGTCGGTAACGCGTGAGTGAATAGTGGTGTTTGTTGCGTGGCTCAAAAGAAATAAAAAATGGCACATGTTTACGAAAATGCTGGACTTGTGGACCTGATTCTTATTTACGGGGGGGGGGGGAGTCTTTACAAAATGCTGCCGCGGCATCACGGATTTAGGCGGATCGGTTTCCCAATCGAGTGCAACCAACCCCTCGTGCCTTTGTTAATGTAGTACAAAGGGCTCGTGAATCAGGTGACTTAAGACCTCACAGGGGAGAGCATGCCGGTGCTCCAAGACCGCACGATCAAATACAGGTCCGCACTGAAATACTTGTCGGGATGATACTTATGAAACAAGGTAAAATATTTTTTTATTTTTTTTTATTTTTACACACATATTTTGGTTTATCTTCCTTCTACAATCATTATTTGAAAATTAATGACTCAACTTCAAAGTATAATGTTAATTTTTCCAAATATACCTAAGTCAAAACACATTATTTTGCATATGATTATTAACAACTTCGCGCCTTAAAAGAAAGCATTCTTATAATTTGAGATTGTGTTGTTATCAGAGTGTCTTGTTAAAATTGTCAACAAAATTCGCTAATCTAGCTTATTTCTAGAGCTCGTCAATTTTGGGTAACTATTGTGATCACATTTGACAAAAAGTTTACAAGCACTTGGATTTTTGGTCTACATGTGACCGAAAATACACTGCCACGCAAAATTAACCAAACAAAATTTTGTTCAAATTGAAATTTGAATAACTTTTTAACCTTCGCATCAATTTCGTTGATTTTTTTGTAAAGTTGTGGGTAATTTTATTATCAACATTATAGACTATCGAGCGTGCAAAAAATTGAAAACGTTTGTTGTTATACAGGGTATAACTAAAAGGTGCATTTTGCCTTAAACTTCATGCCAATATCTCAATTATTGAAGAATATATGCTGTTTTGAAGAAAATCATGCGAATCATGACCATAAACAAAAAATTGTTTCAAGTAGGCTGTGTATGTTAGCATATTTTCTGAAAAAGATTATTGCCAAGCAATACTCCGGAACAATGACATGAATCAAAACAGAACTGTTGAGAAAAGTTGAGGCTTAAAATTCTCATACGAAGACACATTATTCAGTAATCCAATGTTTCCACAAGGTGTTCAGAAATTTAGGGCAAAATGAACCTTTTAGTTGCACCCTGTATATCAACAAGCATTCTCAGTTTATTTTGGAAGATCGGCTGTCAGTAATGATGACAATCAAATTTCCTACAAATTGACGATAAAATTAACGAAATTGATGCTAAG